ATTGCCTAATTTGCAAACTGCATTTTTGGTCATTCCAGTCATGCTAGAATCTAATACTTAGATCATGAGTGTGTACAACTTCTTTCTAACAGTACAGAGATTCAATTCCATGGCCCATAAAATATGAAACATCTCTCTTCTCCTTTCTGTTTCCTTCGTCTCCTCCATTTTCCTTTTTTTTTTTTTAAGATTTTATTTATTTATTTGACAGAGATCACAAGTAGGCAGAGAGGCAGGCAGAGAGAGAGAGAGAGAGAGAGAGAGAGAGAGAGAGGAGAGGGAAGCAGGCATCCTGTTGAGCAGAGAGCCCGATGCGGGACTCAGTCCCAGGAGTTTGGGATCATGACCTGAGCTGAAGGCAGAGGCTTTAACCCACTGAACCACCCAGGCGCTCCTCCTCCATTTTCCTAAGGGCTTACAACTTCAACAACAATCAGCTCATGGCCTCTCTAGCTTCGTCCACACTCCCAACCCATCTTCCCTGCTCCAACAATCCAGATTATTTTGAAAGAAATCTCACACATCGTATCACTTCAGCTCAGAATATTTTAGTATATATCTCTGAGAGGTAAGCAGTTTCCCTTTCAAACATCATTATAGCCCCTCAAAATAACAACAGTTGCTTAATATCATAAAACAGTGTTCACATTCCCTAATTGCCCTATGTCTTTCCTCTTGTTTCTTTTTTTTTTTTTTTTAAAGATTTTATTTATTTATCTGACAGACAGAGATCACAAGCAGGCAGAGAGGCAGGCATAGAGAGAGAGGAGGAGGAAGCAGGCTCCCCACCGAGCAGAGAGCCTGATGTGGGGCTCGATCCCAGGACCCCGGGATCACGACCCGAGCCGAAGGCAGAGGCTTAACCCACTGAGCCACCCAGGCGCCCCTCCTCTTGTTTATTTTTTGTTTGTTTTAATGTATATCAAAACAAGGTACATACATTACAATTAACAGGTCTCTCATGAGCAAACATTCTTTTTCAAGCCCTTCTCTTCAAATGAAAATGCAGAATTGTTATGTAGTAAAAACAAGCAATTCTGAATGAAGCAGGAGTTTAAAATGCTGTCTGAAGAAGGTGGTGAAAATGTCAAGTCACTGCCTTTGCCCAGAAGATAAGCGGTTGGCATATACCTTTCCCTGAATGATAAAGGAAAGTGGGAGCTGTGCTTCCCGGTAAACATTTTTATTAGCCACCCAGAACTGCACATAAACATGATGCGTGTGAAACAAAGTGCTCTGCTATAAACAGGAATTGAGGAAATAGAAAATGAGTTGTAAATCTGAAAATCATTTCTCTTACTTCAATGAAAGAGAAGCTTATAAACAGGCAAACCAAACAGTCTCTTTTAAGTCTTGCTAATGCTGGTTGCATTAATCCTTTTCAGGATTTTTAATCCTAAAGCTTTAGTTTAAGGCTTTTGAATTTTCAACTATTGCTTATTCCATTCTAATCTGCGCCTTTTGTAAAAGAAAGAAAATCACTTTGGATGACATGCATAGAAGACTTCGACTTCCATTTTGCACTGTAAGAGCTTCTCTTACCATCCTACCTTAAGCAAAGCTCCTTTTTCATTTTAAAAAGGAAAGAAATCCCGTGTCAGAACATAACACATACAAAATAATCACCATGTAATAAGAGACAAGACAAGCTTACAGTGATACAGTGCAGGAGGTAAGAATATGGGCGGCAAAGAGAGAAAGGACGTCCCTGTATCTTTGCCAGTGAACTGGGGACGATAATTAGAAGCTGTTTCGTAATGCTGCTGTGGCGATCATTCAGCTGTGATCATGAGAAGCACCCAGCACTGAGTAACAGTAACTGACTAGCTATTGTTATCATTGGAAAGACAAAGGAAGGGATGATTTGTCATGATCAGTTCTTACCTTGAGAGACAGAACTTACTTTATGGTAACATTGTGAGTCAATTACAAGAGAAGTGCCAGGCCTGGCACCCCCCACTGCACTGCCTCCCATAAAAGGACCCAGGGAAAAGAAGTACCCTGGAGAGGGAATGTTAGTTCTCCTCTCTGATGGCTCCAAATATCTGAAAATAGTACAAGAAATGGCTCCGTGTGTAGTTAAATTCCAGGTAAGACAACACTGTGCTAAGTGCACTAAATAGATTAACCTGATATTGGACTCTGATCCCCAAGGAAACTGGCCGGTGTCGCCCAGTCATTTCAGCTGGGCAGAGGAAAAACAACCTAATGTCTATCTCAACTGTGATCTGACTGGATATGATCTAAGCTTTGAAAGGTGCCTAAGCTCATTGCAGATGCATAATATACTTAGACAATACTAAGCAGGGAGCTTTGGGCTGGGGTGTGTACCCTACTATGGAGGAACTGACATAGGAAAATGAAGATCCAGCATTGTAATTCAGCCTTTCTCTATTCTACCATTTTAGTCAGACAAAAATTTCCTCTTCTCTTAGGTGTTTCTCAAGTAATTGCAAAAAATAACCCAAATAAATAAATTAACTAACAAAAAAGTAGGGGTGGTTATTTATAGGATAGCATTCTTCCATTCAAATCATGTTACAAAATTCCTTTTAAAACCCTTCCCTCACAACTCACAGCCCTTTCCAAGCACCTAGCTCTCTGCATTATTCCTCTACTCCTTGAGTAAATGGTGGAGGACAGATCGCCAAAGAAAACGTCCTTATTAATAATAACCTATGTTTAAATGCTTTATAGTTTTAAAGCACTCTCAGATCCACTGTGGTCTTGTACAAGATGGTATAAATGATATTATAGCTATTTGACTGGGAAAGTTACATATAGTGATTGGTGCAGGTGAGACCTGAACAAAAAATCATTCCAACCAAAAGCAATGGTCTGGAACCTGAAGCAAGCAGCCCCATGCTCATACTCGCCGGTTTTCTGTGCAGTTTTTCCTCCCTTTAGTGAGTCTATTCCAGCCATCTTCCTCTTTCCTCTTCAGTTAATTCTGATTCATGCCTCACCTCATGTAATTACTAAATGGGAAAGATCTGAGTAGACCAACATCTAAACAACTAATATTCACTGCACACAAACCAGAAGCTAGACCTTTGAAGCAGAGGAAAAACTTGATGTTCTTTATCATTTAAAAAGACTATGGTGAGATTAATCATTTTGTCAATTTGAACCAATTATCTTAAAACAATATTTGCATATTAGCCAAAATGGAGCTCCTAGCTACATGCGTTCAGTCCCTGTTTATAAATCTGGAAATAAATTTCAAGCAGCTTCTGTAAGAAAGCTAAGGCTTGAAAAATGTCCCTGCACGGACTTGATAAGATTTCCAATTGTGCCACGGTAAAATCTTACTTCTTGAATCCCTTTTTCAACATTATTGTACAAACTTGCATCTGTCTGGCCCTGGAAATAAGATGGTGAAGTCAGATGCAGTGGTCATGAACCTAGAGATCAGAATCTAGAACAGGAAGACCAGTGCCCTACTCTGGACTCTCTGAAGGACCCCACGCTGGGAACAATCAGGCCTCACAGCCCTCTGGGCCAGGGTGGAACCCACCTACCCCCATCCTGCTTGCAGCCACATGGGTCTTTACTCATTTCTCCTTGCTCCTTCTCCCACTGGACTCTCTGCATGAGTTCCAGTTTCCTTCACCTTGGAAGTTCACCAGGTTCTTGGTGGCCTTAGCCCTTCCTCCTTCTCCTTTGGCCCTCAGCTCTTGACCTCCTGCCTCAGGAAGCGTTTTCTGACTTGCAGGTCTGGTCATATCCCCTGTGAAACCCTCCACCACCTTCAACCTTATCACATTTGTACTTTTACATGTACTTGTGTGATTGTGTGGTATTTGACTGTATCTCCTCTCACGTGCCTAAGATTCTGGAAGGGCAGGGGCTGGTTTTAGATGCCAGTGCCTGGCACACAGTAGGCCCTCTAGGAATGAAAGCGGAAGAGTCACAGGTGCCTGGAACTCTGTGGAGTTCCTGGGCTACGTAGCCTGGGCTCTGTGGAGGAGGCAGGATGGACTGGGTTGGCTTCCTTAACAGGGGGACCTCCCGGCTCCAATCTTAAAACCTGAGTGACAATCTGAAATGGAAAGGTTTGTCCCAAGTCCCTAGAAGACTTGAAACTCCCAGATAGCAGAAATCCTATTATATTTAGTGGCCCCAGTACCTAACTGTGCCTGTTGCTTAGCGTGAAATACAAGTGCAAAACACTTGGTAAATATTAGGCATTGCCAGTATTAATGAATACGTTTCGGAGCGTGGGACCACGTGGAAGACGTTACCCGTGGCTTCAAAGAAGGCTTGGACGCACTCCTGAAAGAATACAAACGACCCCCTAACCAAAGAGAGAGAGAGGGAGACAGGGAAAGAAAGAAAGAGGAAGGGAAGGGAAGGAAAGGAAAGGGAGAAAGAAACGTGCCTTCTTTCCTCTGGAAAACAAAACCCCCAAAACAAAAAACCCTCCAAACGAAAACCGACGTCTTCCCCTTTCTAGGCCTTCACCCTCTCGTCCCCCCGCACCTCACGGGCGAGTTCGGGACGTCAGTCACTGCGGAGACGGCCATCGCAGCGACGCCTCCAGGCACTGCCTGACCCGGCTGCAACTTTGTGAGAAGTACGCAGTTGGACCTCCTCTCCTGGAGACGGCATTTAAGGTCTCCACGGGGCAAGGAGCGGTGTTTATAAACACGGAGGGAGGGGGCTTTGCTGCTTCCTACTCACGGGTGCCTTAGCAGGCGCACGCCAACCCGCGCTCGGTGGCAGCCGGGGCCCTCGGGTTCCGTGGAACCCACGCGGCCGCGCGGCCGAGACCCCGCCCCCCGCCGCCCCTCCCCCGCCGCAACGGTCTCGGCACGCAGGCGCGGGGGCGCGCGCAGGGCGGGGCGCGCGGAGGCGGGGCTGCGCGGGCCCACTTAAATATACTCGCGGTGGGGGCGGCGCGAAGCTGCCGCGGCGCTGCTGCGTGGAAGCTGCGAGTTCTCACAACTGTCTTCTTGTCGCGCGAGCCCCGAGCCTCGCTTTTCCTCCGGCGGCGACGGCGGCGGCGGCGTTGCCAGCTTCAGCAGCAGCAGGAGAAACCGGAGGCGAGCGGGCGGCGGGCTCCATGGAGAGCGGCGGACGCCCGGGCAGAGGCGGCGTTTCCTCTCCGGTACCCGGGCTGCAGTGACCCGCACTTGTTCCCTGCCCCGCGTCGAAGCAGCCGCCGACTCCGGGACTGACCGGCCTCGCTGCCACTCTCCGCGCCGCCGTCTCGCCTCCCGGCGCCCCCTGTGCCCCGACTCGCCCGTGCCCCAACTTCCCGGCGGGGTGGCGGCGGCCGGGCCCCCGCGGCGGCGGCCGGAGCAGCAGCGGCAGCAAGAGTCCGCCTCTATGATGAAGTTCAAGCCCAACCAGACGCGGACCTATGACCGCGAGGGCTTCAAGAAGCGGGCGGCGTGCCTGTGCTTCCGGAGCGAGCAGGAGGACGAGGTGAGGGCCGCCAGCGCGCTCTGTGCCCTCCGCGGCGGGGGTGCCGGAGCAGGCCGGGGGCGTGGGGGGGCGCGGCCGGCCGGGGTGGGGGTCCTTGCCCTTCTCTTTCCCTGCCCGACTGCTCTTCTGGCCCTGGGGCTGGAAGGGATTAGCCCCCTCCCTCTTTCCCTCCTGCTCGCCCTCCCTCCTTCCTTCCTTTCTCTGGGTTGATGGAGGAGACAAAGGGGTTGGCCCAGCCCAGTGTGCTGCTAGGCGGTCGTGAGGACCTGAGGCAGAGACGTCTCCTGGCCCGCGGGAAGGTCCCGGGCGGAGTAGGTCGCTTCTGGCGGGAGTCACCATCTTAACACGCGAATTGAGCGTAAAGCCAGATAAAACTCGAGTGCTAATAGAGGCGGCAGAAATGGCGTGAGTGTTGCAACCCAAGCTCTTCTGCCGCTGCCTCTGTTACATTTTCCTTTAACGTTAACAGCAGTTTGCGTTTTCTGATTAAACCTAGGGACGTTTGTGGAATGGCCAAACAGACCCCGTGCTTTAAAATAAAGCCCCATTCAGTCTGGTTTTTCAAATCGGACTTGCATGTGGACCCTTTAACTCGTAAGCACCTGGCATAATTACACGTGATAATATTTTTTTTTATGGCCGCCTTTTTTTTAAAGTTTTCTGACAGCATGAAGATGGCTAGTGAGAAATGTGGAATAACGCCAGAGGGAGGTGGGCAAAGTTGCCATTTTCAGAGCATAGTCTCTAGTTCTCAGCGTATTTACCAAGGCTTCTTTACTTTGCTGTTTGGTTTACATCTGGAGAGGAGCATCCTTTCTTGTTCTAAGAGTAAGCAGTTTTCTGTAATTTATACTCCTGCGTTGGGTTGATACGAGGCCCTTGAGGTTTTTCCTGGAAAGCAGTTTTTCCTTATTTCAATGTTAACATTTATTTAATTTTTTTTTAAAGATTTTATTTATTTATTTGACAGACATAAATCACAAACAGGCAGAGAGGCAGGCAGAGAGAGAGGAAGGGAAGCAGACTCCCCGCCGAGCAGAGAGCCCGATGCGGGGCTCGATCCTAGGACCCCGAGATCATGACCCGAGCCGAAGGCAGCGGCTCAACCCACTGAGCCACCCAGGCGCCCCTACATTTATTTAATTTTAAAAAGGTTCACTGTTCTAAATTTGCCTAAGGCAATACTAGTTGATTGGTAGCCGTGAAAATATTTTATAAAGGATTGCCATTCCTATAATGACTAGGCAGAGAAAGAACTTAAAAGAGTTCTGCTTCCATAGCCAACTGTGTCCAGTAAAATACCAGGCTAAAGCCGGAGATGGGAAATTTAATGGCTTCCTTATTGCTGATCTGTGTAGTTAGGCTGAGTATGACATAGTGTATACAGTCAGTAGCACAGTTCTTACTATGCTGACAAAAATCAAAGTGCTTCAAATGATGCTCTTCAAACTCTTGTTTTGCATTTATTTATTTATTTATTTATTTATTTATTTTAAGAAACCAAGCTTTTTAGTGCTGATTGGTGCTTAGTTTGGGGCCTTTAAGTGGTTAGCCTAAATTTTCTTGAGTTTTCAGAAGAAAACTATGACCTGGGCCCAGTTAGGAAAGCTAGAAGGTGGGAGGGGAAAGATTTTTTAACATTCACAGAATAAATAGTCAACAAGCATTAAGTATATTTTATTTAGAACGTTGTTGAGGGAGGGCCGTGTTAGGAAAAAGCAAGCTTTGGATATAAAAGAATAGCCCAAAGTGATCAAGAAATGTCAAGGATCTTGTCTGATTCGCTCACTATTGTGTAATCACATTCTTAGTTGAGTGCTTAGGATATGTGGGGCTTGCCTGGAGACCTGTAGGTTTGTTACATTTCATCCTCTAGTGCTGGTTTATAGGTGAGGAGACAGTTGAGATTGTTAGTACTTTCCCCAAATGACATAATTAGGAAGTGGTAGATTCACAATTCAGGATCCAGCCCTTGCTCCTGATGGTGGGCTCATGGCACAGGGTTCTTTAGTAATTGGGTGCACGCTATTTGCTGAATGAGAGATTTTGTGAGGCTGAGCTTGGAAGACTCTCTGGAAGCGATGACTTTGAAGTCTTGCCATAACCTGAACTTGGAATTCACGCTTTGTTTAAAAAAAAAAACAAAAAACAGTTCCCAGGAGAATATATAGGAAATGGGAGGAAATTGAAATGATCTGTATTGTGTGAGTGGTAAAAGCAAAGCTTGAAGAATACTTCAGAGTTTATCTTAGATCAATGAATTATTTTTGTGCTTGGAAATTGTTCCGCTACTGTAATAAATGCTAAATTTCTAGTTTCTAGTTGAGTGAAGAGACTACTGCCATTAGATAAAATGAAGTAAGGAGCAAGCTCTGGAGTATTAGAGAAATCTGTTACGTAAAACTTGGCAAATCTGGTACAGTGTAGACGAAGAAACCAAGTCAGAATATGTTCTAAGGGAAGGCTCTAGAATTTTCTAAGTAAAATGCACAGCCAACCTTAACATGTATCTCTCTAGGATCTTCATTTCTGTAGTTGAGTATTTGGGGCTCTTTCCATTATATGATAGTTACAAAATGAACCCTGTTAGCTTTCCAGGACATCTTGCTGTTTTACTATGAATTTTTTCCCACGTTACTGAAATTATACTGGTAGCCTTCCAAGGATAGAATACAAAACAGCCTGAATCCACCTCTTTGGCTAACAGGTGAGAATTCCCCCCCATACTGGGTTAACAACACTTAGGTCCTGGTTGGGAGATTTAAATGTATGCCGTATTTTAGGATGAAATGTTATAGAGTGTCAGTTGAAATAAAATAGTAATTGCTCTTTGACCACAAAAAGTTAGTGTTCCAGTGTGGTTCTCTCCTGGAGTTCTCAGCCCATAGTTGAGAACAGGTTGTTTTAGGAAAGAAGGTTGTCCTAACAGCAGTCTTTATTTTTGGGGGGGTTTTATATATTTGCCCATTTTATCATCCCTGTGAGGTAAAAAGCATTAGCACTTGTACAGGAGGAAATTAGTCAGCAGACATAACTTATCCCAAGGTCCCAAAAGCTGGCAGATAATTTTGAGCCCAGGTGCTTTATTTCTAAATCTTCTGTTCATTTGATTCTCCTTCAGCTAGTTATTTCTATAGGGAACCACCCTACAGAAGTTTTGGCAGTTGGGCAGTTTAGTTTTGGCAGTTGGGCTTACACAGAATCCCACAAAATAAGCTTCCCATTGATTAGCTGGGATACTGTGCTTGTACAGTGAAAGAGAACAATATGTTCACAAAAGGTAACCAAAAATACGATTTTTTTGAACTTACTGCATATATGAGAGTTTGAACAGGGTTGCAGAGATGAAAAGTGTCAACTCCTAAGAAACCTAATGCTACAGTGGGAGGATAGACAAATGACTGACATAAAGGTAAATAAAGGAAGGGAAAAGTAACTTCACATGCTCCAGGGTTAAGATCCACTGGAGCTGGATTTCAGTGAGAGAGGAAGGACCAAACATCACAGACAGCAAAACCTGGGGCTGTGGGTTAGTCGAGCTGCAGCTTAGGATAGCACATGACAGAGAACTGTTGAAAAAGCACCTTAAATGTAAGGCTAAGGAGTTGCTAGGCAAGAAGGGAACACTTAGTTTTGAAAAAGGAACATTTACATTTTAAATGTATGCAAGCTTGATGATGATCTGGCAGCAAAATAGGATAGAATGCTAAAAAGAGAAATAGAAAGGACTTGATTCTGGGTGGAATCCAGGCACAGTTGTGAGGGAGAAACCCTAACAAAACAGCCTTAAAGACTGCCCACTACTCCCCTAATTAGCTTTTAAGCTCCTTGAGCCAGGGGCTGCATTCTACAGTTTGTTAAATGCCAAATGTGTATTAACTAAATGTCTGAATTCTACAAAATCATGCACTAAAACTAAGCCTTGAGGGAAAGCAGAGTCCTAAAAAGACTTGGTAGGGAAAGCAGAATTCCAAAACCGGAGCCCTAATAAAAACAAGTCTTAATAAGAAATACTAGTACAGGTTAAGTCTCTATCTACTGCATTTGTCTGCTTGGGATCAGTAGGTAGTCTGCCTTATCAGATGTACACTCTCGGGCTTAAGCTTCGCAGAAATCCTTTTAGATTTTAAGTCGTACAAGATAATGAGCCTCAAATGGAGACCGCTTTTATTAAAATTAACTCTCCAAAGGCAGTTTTTTCTAAACATCGGAAATGTCACCTATGCCTGAAGCTCTCCCAAACTTAAAGGGCTTCTTAGGCCACTCAACCAGCCACTTTCCAAAGGAAAGGCACTTTTGCAAAATTTGCATCTGTTTCAGGCTCTTGGCATATATTACTAAGGCTTTCTGTAAATGTGTGAAAGAAAGCTTACCTATAGCTTCAGAACATTGACATACTAGGAGAAAATGTCATCAGCGCAATTTAGCATTCATCTATCTACCAATCCCATACAGATGGTCCCTGACTTCAGTGGTTTCAACCTGTGGTTTTTCGACTTTCTGATGGTGCAAAAATGCATTCAGTAGAACCCATACCTCAGATTTTTAATTTTTGATCTTTTTCCAGGCTTAACAATCTCATTAGTAAGGTTAAGCACATTTTCCCAAAATGAGCCCATATTTCTGATCCTCCTATAGCACTGTGCCTCTGTGTAGTGCACTGTAGTGTAGTCCAAAAAGTAGTACTAATTTAATAATAACAGGTAGCTGGTTAATGGATACAGTAATCATTTTAAGATCTTTTAAAATGTCTGTGTGTATACTGTTGTTCCTAATGTGCTGCTTGCTGGCCTAATTTTGGCTAAATACCTATAATACAGTTACTACGGTAGAGATGGTTTAATCATTCATGCATCCTGGTTCATGATAATGTGGGAAGAAAGTACAAAAACCCCAATATAGCTTCTAAATAGCTATAATCACAAAATAAAACTCTTGATTCTTCCATGTAGGGATCACCGAGTTTCTCCAGATAGCTTGCTCCCACTAGAAGTAGTCATTTGTAGTGAATAGTTGTTCCCAGAAGCTGACTGACCAAGAACAGTTATTAAGGGTAAAAGCTGAAACACAAATGACATTTGGGGGCCACTTGGTGTATAGGAATTTCAAGTACCTCCATCTTCTGAGGGCATAACTGCATTACATAAACCTTACACAGCATTCCCCCCAACCCCCCCTTTTACAAGCTCTTACACACCCCAATGAGGAGGACTTTACTAGGTGATACAGAGTATAGAGATACTCCCAATTCATTGACAGACCTTTGTCCAGTAAGACTAAGGGCTGGTTCCAAGTAGATCATTATAATGACTACTTATATTCCAAATGCTTAAAACATTGTCTAACAAAAAGACAAGTGTGAGAATTGGCTTCTTAACGATAAGGGAATGGTGGTGTGTTCTGATAATTGTTCAATACATGGAAGGAGGAGGGGTTGAGGTTTGATAGTATATAGCAGCAGGAATGTTTATATGAAGGTGGGCCGGTTGAATCAAGGAAGTGTCTTTGCTTTTCACAACTCTAACAGTGCTGGCTTTGAGGTTGAGTTTGATTCAAGTCTAATTCTGCAGCCTGGTGGGTTGGCTAACCTCCTTTTTATAAATCTTGCCTTTGGTCTCAACTCTGGCTTATCTGGAAGGTTGAATGTCGTCTTCACGGCTGTCACATTGTCACTAATGTGGCAGACTATCATCTTGTTGGATACACAAAATGTAATACTCCCAGAAAGGTATTTGAAAACGAATTTAAAACCTATGAACAACCAGGGATGGATATGCCAGCTGTTGTATTTTGGTGTTTCCTCCTAACGGAATGAGATACTACACCTCTGTTATTTCAGTAATAATGTTTTCAGAGCATCAGTAAGCATGCTGAACCTATATTACAGATCTGGTAGATTGGGGATGTTGTAGAAATGTTAAGACAGACGGCTTGTTCTTTTTTTTTAGGATATTGAGTAATTTGTAATGGGAGTTCACGTTTAGATTCTTCTAGCATGTTGGAAGGAATTTAAATCACTTGTCTCTACTTAATGCTATTCAGACCTGTGTAGAATAATCACCACCACCACAACAAACATACAAATGTGGCCTTGACCTCATTTGAACTCTGACTGAAGTACTCTAGATGAGTAGGCAGATGTACTTAATGAAACACTGACTGGTTTTCAAATCTGTTTCATCACTGAAGGCTCATTATCAGATCTTTTAAGCTAGTAGTTTAGATGCTGATCATTTCTATTACCACAGGTATCAATTACTCATTTATTAAATATATCATATTTTGGAGAGATACATTTGAAGTAATGATTTGATCAGTTAAATTTAATCAATTCGGAATGTCAAGGGACTCCACATGATAAGTTCTCAGATTCTACTAAACCATTTGTCTAAAACTATATAGATCTGTTTTCATACTTTTCTAAAATAGTTTATGAAGGGAGATGTTGAAGCATACAGGGATTCCATGTCACTGACTTTTGGATGATAATTTTAGTCATATGTGAATGATGTCCTGTAGATTGCAGATTAAAGATTTGGATTTAACTGGAAGCATAAGTGTTAGTTCAGAAAAGCAGACAGACTCTACTAATGGGTTTTCAACATTATTAACCTTATGTGCTTTGTGGTCTTAAAGACCATCTTGGGACAAATGGGAATCATCATTGACTTAGATACATGAGAGTTTCATTTTTTCCAAGACTCAGACATAAGAATATCAGTGGCTTTGAAACTCCCTGTTTACTAAATAAGGATGTACTTTTCCAATAGCTAGCCCCTGCAGTGGCCTGTCCCATTGTGAAAGTAATCAAGGAAGTTGCTTAGGGAGCATAGAAATTAGGTAGTAAGAATTCATCCAGGCAATAAAAACTAGATTATCTGTAACCCATTGGCACCTAGTGATCAGGAAAGAGGCCTCTACCTCTGTAGTCAGAAACAGTAGTTGTGGTTTACTTTTCCCTTGATACAAGATACATGCTTTTATACCTTAAGCATTTTCGTTTTAACTTAAAAATGTATTTGCCGGTCTCAATATAGGTCAAAGCCTTGAAACACCATAGAACCTTCGTAAGCCTCCTTTTTGAATAAAATAAAAAGCGAAATCTGATTTCCAGTTTCACTTTGTTTAAACATCTTGAACTTTGAAGATTCTTGCTGGCTCTTTCTGGATTTTTAAATTTCCTTTTTCTAGTCTTTTCTAGTAGCCTCATCCATATTTAATTTGATAGCAGTTTTTAATAACCCACCTTTAATTAATCTTTGCTTTCTTTTTGATAATTCCTTTCTGCACTCATTTCATTATTAACTCTCAATAATTATAAAAAATGCAAGTGGCAAAATTTGGGGGAGAAAGCCTAATTATTGGTAAGCAGATTCTGGCATATCTGAGAAAACAGAAAGAGCTAGTGAGGGCCAACAGCAGGTGCCTCGGCCAGGACTTAGGGTGTTTCATTCTCATTAACACTAAACAGCCCTACAAGGATGGATGCTTGATTTTAGAGAGGATGGCACTGGTGCACTGAATGGTAGATCAGCAGCCTTCATTGTGTGCATCCAGGAATGAAACACACCTTGGTTGTGATGTGTACAGTTGTGAAACATCTTCAAGTTCAAACCAGTGTTTTCTACTTGCTGGATTTGCTTATTCTGGCTCTTTAGTTTCTAATTTTGGTGTGTAAGCCCTGTTTGCTAATATTTAAGAAAGCTTAAAGGCTTACATTTCCTTTTACCAGAATTGCGATATTTGGACTTGGTGGTACCTTCAGTGTCAGCCATTAATATTTTCTTTTTAAAGATTTTATTTATTTGACAGCACAAGCAGGAGCAACAGGGAGAAGGAGAAGCAGGCTTCAATGAGGGGCTCCATCCCAGGACCCCAGGATCATGACCTGAGCTGCTTAACCAACTGAGCCACCTAGGCGCCCCAGCCATTATTATTCTAAGGTTTTACCAGTTGTTATCTTACAGTGCTTCCTCTGGATTTGCACTGTTCTGCCAGTTAATTCGTTTGAAGGAATAAAGTCCCAGTAGAAGCAATAGAGTCTTCTCCAGATGAGGAATGAGGGAAACAATGCTCAGGCCCCTTGAACGTTGGTTGATCATTTTGCAATGATGGTGTGTGTCCATAGGCCAAAATTTGCTGCTTAATTTTCAGAATGAGGGGATATGTGCCTGGATAGGTGTTCCCTGATCTCCCAACTCCGCACTTAGAGGTTTTTTGGGGAAAGGTGGGAGTTGCTGAACTGTTTACTGTCAGCCTGGCACTTCGTAGTGGGGGCCTCCTCAAGTAAGAGGCAACTCCCATCCTGGCTTGGCTGTGAGCTCTCTACTCCAGCAGCTGCTGGCAGTAGGGATGGAGCTGAGCAGATAGAACTACTGGCATGCATGTCGGAAAACCAGTACACACCTCACAGATTAAACTTGGCTCTGAATTGATTGATGTATCTGGTGAGAATGGTTTACGTTCTGAAGGCAGTATACCAAGGTAATTTGGTGAACATTTTTGTTCAAGTTGGTTAAGGCACCTGTTACCTCACAAATATCGTTTGGTTATTTATCATAGCCTTTGTGTTTTAATTTGGGTGAATTTCATAAGATAAATACATAATTCTTATTTCAGGCACTGTTAAAATAATGGTCCTCTAGGATACTCTGATAATGTCATCCTTTTTTTAAAAAAGTGCTTGCATATTTCAAGGTTAATGCTACTCTTGATTGAGGTCTGCAGACTTTTCCTGTATAGAGCCAGATATTTTTAGGCTTTGTGGGCCACATTGTTTCTGTCACAGCTACCCAACTCTACTGTTGGGAGTATGAAAGCAGTCATAGGCAACATGTAAAAAATGAATGAGTGTGGCTAGATTTTCTAATTTATGAACACTGGAATTTGAATTTCATATAATTAAACATGCAAAAACCATTTTTAGCTCCCAGACTGTACAGAAACAATCCGTACACACACTATAGCTTGCCAACCCTCTTCTAGATCATAAGTTACAGCTGCCTGTTATCAAAAGAAGTGACTTTTGTTCATTTATAATTGGTTCGGAATACGAAGGTTACTTCTTTCCACCCAATTGTAAGTATAAATATAATAGGAACTCTCTATATACTGAGCATTGGCTTTACCTGAATCTCCCTCCTCCTTTCTCAGTTAACTGTATTCATACATTCCATAGGTGAGGGAACAGAGCGATGAGCCTGGGGTCACATACTCTTAAAATTTGGGAGAGTGATAAGATTCTGTAATTTAAAAAACAGGTATTATGACCACAAACCTAAGTGCATACAGCTCTGAGGCTAGTAAACCAAGTCTTGGCTTCTATCTTTTGTTAGTCTCCAAGAATTGGAGTGTTTCACGAATTGAATCTGGTAGTTAAAGTGATTTCATTAGGTTCATTCAGATGGTGTAATGTGAGCACAATACTGTTGAATTCTGAAAAACTATGTACAGAAGCTGTCAGTTGCTTGTCTGTGATAGACTCTGCACTCCTCTTAATTTGAATGACTCTGAAAGGTGTGTTAACGTGAAAGGGCATCCCAGCCCGGTGGAGGTTTGAGGGTGGTGGTGGGGGCTGCGGTGCTCCCTGGGCGGCAGGAGTGTACGGTCCTCCTCCTTGCAGGTGTTGCTGGTGAGCAGCAGCCGGTACCCTGACCAGTGGATTGTCCCTGGAGGAGGCATGGAGCCAGAGGAGGAACCCGGTGGCGCTGCCGTGAGGGAGGTGTACGAAGAGGTGAGATAGATAAACCGCAGTAGCTTCTTGGCTGTCCTTGCACACAGGCTGTACTTGGGAAGTTTTACAGTGTTTGTGGGGCGCTTGGGCTACATGTGCAACCAGAAGACGACAAGGCAGATCACATGGGTTCTCTCTTTGTTGTTCAACATTTTTAAGCAGGCAACTATAGGTGGCATTTTGCTAAGAAGATACGTTTGCTACCTGGTAAAACAGAGCTAAAAGCAATGTAGACGTCCCCCAGAAATGTTTGACAACAAGCCTGATGAGTGATCAGTAGATAACATGGTGACCTTGTCTCTGAGCAGCTAGTAATACACTGGAATGCACAATCATGTGCTAGACTGTTCAGATGAATAAGCAAACCGCTTTTATTTGTGTATTGTCCTAAAGCTGAATAAAATGAGGCCTGCACACACACACAAAAGCATACATGGCGTGCTTATCTTCTTAAAGTTGCTCATAGATAGAATTTGCTTTTACAGCATAGATTGAAGTGCTGTTAAATTACTGAGCAGCAGTTAGGGTATAAATGGGAAGCAAATTCTAATGCTCTCATTGGGTCTTGGTTCTCTAGTTAGAAAAGTTTCATAGAGATGGGTCTTAAAGGATGAGCAGTTTCCTGAAGGAGGAACATTTCCTAGATAGAGGAGACAGCAGGTGTCAGTGTTGTTCGTTGTGGTGTGGATATGACATTCCAGTCAGTCAGTTACAGTAATGGGTAAAAGTAATGAGGACTCTGCATTTGAAGGGTAACCTATAGAAAAGAATTGTACCTCCCGAGCCATGTGAAGAAAAAAGGGGGTGGGGCAGAAAGTCCTTAAAGAAAGAAGGGTAATAAGTACTTGCTGTACAGAAAAGTCTTTTCATTCATTAAGTTTGTCCCAAATTGGTAGAAAGTCTAATTTTTGGTCAGTCCCTGTCATTTCTAAAAAAATAAATGACAGTCAATTTGGTCAGTCTGAACTTGAATATGGAATAAATTAAGCCATGTTTTATAGCAGACCACAGGTCGTGAATCTTGCCATTGCCAAAAAAAAAACCTTCACAGAAGCAGGCTTAGTATAGGAGGTGTATAGGAGGGCCTGTTGTGCTTAGATCCAAAAGTTGAAATAGTCAAAATAACTTCAGTATAAATTTTCTTAGGAAAGGTAACAATTTTACTTCATCCTTTTTTAATAGGCTGGAGTCAGAGGAAAGTTAGGCAGACTCCTGGGCATATTTGAGGTGAGTAGCCAAAGTAATCCTTTCGAATAATAGAATTATAACCATTCTTTCCTAACCAGCCAAATAATCTGGCACAACCTGAGCAACCTGAGCGAGACTAAAACTATCAGTAAGCAAGTAAGTTAAAAGGATTAAGAGGGAGGGAAGTAAGCTTTTTTTACCTTCAAGATACTACTTAAGGGTTAGTTGTGTCCTGGTAGAACCGTAAACATTTTATTTTTAAGGGGGTGCCTGGGTGGCTTAGTCCAGTACATCGGCCCTAACCCTAACCCCTCTTGATTGCGGCTCAGGTCTTGATCTCAGGGTCGTTGGTGCTCAGCAGGGAGGAGGTCTGCTTGGGATTTTTCTTTACGCCTCTGCCCCTGCTCACGCTTGTATGGGCGGCCTCCCTCCCTCTCAGAATTAAAAAAAAAAAAAAAAAATGGAAAAGGCTTTCCACAGAATTCAGAAATTGTGCAGTACTTGGTAGAATTGATGACTCCTGTAAAGTTCTCAAATTTTAGTATTCAGTCTTTCCCAGAATTCAGCACTTGCTTTACCCAATTGAAGTGCACCATCTCCTGGTTAAAAGTGAAAAATGTATTGAGGGTTTTTCTATAATTCAGAGTAGCCAAGGTACAAATAGCAAGAACATTCCAGTATGTTGACAAGATTTTTGAAGGGAACTTCTCACATTATAAATAAAGCTTCTATAACACAGGTAGGTAATAGTAATATTGGCATTACAAATGCTAAATTTCATAGAATCTGAACAGAAAAAAGTAACAAATGTATCTTTCCCCTTAAAATATGTAAGGGAAGGTTAGAATTGTCCTGCCTGTTCACCCTGGTGATTTCAGTGAATTTGTGAACATAGCATAATAAATGTTTCCAGGCATAGAAGACAGTAAGTTCTTAAAAATAATGAACAGTAATGTTCTATGTGAGAGATGCCTCTCCTTTTTTGTTGTTTCTGTTACCTTCCCAAAGACATAATGTGCTATTTGGATTGAGTGAATTAGGTTGTTCGTGGTAGAAAAAATTCAGGCAACTATCAGGCTGCCAGGCTGGCTCAGTTCATACAGAAAGCAGCTTTAGATCTCAGGGTTTTGAGTTCAAGACCCATGTCAGACACAGAGTCTATTAAAAAAAAAAAATACAAAATTAAATTATCAAATTTCAAATTTTCATTTACCTGAAGTCCTAGACTATAGTAGACAAGGCTAACTTTTAATTGAGATGAAGATGAGCCTCTTCATTTTAAAACCAACATATGTTTAATTTTGAATCTAGAAACAAGACAAGGTGGCATTTTTAATGCGGGTAAAAATCGAGTTTGAGCACACGGGACTAAAAGGTAATACTCCAGAAATGAGTAACCCATTCTCAACTTTGGCCGCATATGGTTCACCTGGAAGCTTTTAAACTATCGGTACTTCGTGTCTCTTAAAAACATGTGTTGAAATCAAAGTGCCAAAAGTTTACTATGGGGAATTAATTTCACCATTTTACATATTTTTTTTTCCATATAAAATTCACTTCTGTGCTGGGTTATACAACTGGATTATACTTGCCTATGCCAAGCATAGTATGCATAGTATTGCTAAGCAGTAGTATGCCACAACTGACTTTTTTCCTCAAATATGTGTAATAGCTAGCTCCTGGAGATTAAAATGCTTTTTTCTTTTTATATTCAAGCAGAATCAAGACAGAAAGCATAGAACGTATGTTTATGTTCTTACTGTCACTGAAATATTAGAAGATTGGGAAGATTCTGTTAATATAGGTAAGTAAGTTCCCTTTCCCTTTGCCATCTGGATTCTCTTAATTCAAGTACTTCGTACTTGTACAGTTTTCATCTTGAATTACTTTCGGTTACCTTTTTCAAAAAGGATCAGTATATGTATGTCCACACTTGAATTCTCTTAAAATTCTTCCACCAGCATAAGTCATTCCAAAAAAACAGTAAAGTTATTTGTGGGGTAGGGGGTGAGGGACATTGTAAAAGCATTGGCCTGCTTTTTAAAATTGACTTTACTGTATAATGACCAATGTCCTACTATTTTCTAGGAAGGAAGAGAGAGTGGTTCAAAGTAGAAGATGCCATCAAAGTTCTCCAGTGTCATAAGCCTGTACATGCAGAGTATCTGGAAAAACTAAAGCTGGGTTGTTCTCCAGCCAATGGAAATTCCACAGTCCCTTCCCTTCCAGATAACAACACCTTGTTCGTGACTGCTGCACAGACCTCTGGGTTGCCATCCAGTATAAGATAGAGAGAACTGGGAGGACCTCCCATGTGCAGTCTTGTGGGGAGAGGTCTCTTTATTTTCCTTGGTAAACATCCGAATGATGCTTGCAAACTGTCTGAATTTGCCATGCAGGATTTTCAAACAATTTGCAAGTTTTTCAGATGTTTTCAGATCTTTAAAAAAAAAAAAAAAAGTGTAAAATATTTTAATAAGCCAAAGCCATGTGGAATTTTTTTTAGATGCCTTAATTGTGCTCCCAGCCCCAACCCACACCCCCCATTTTAGTTGTCATTTTTTTTCATACATTTTGTTTAGTTTATCGTCCATTTGACATCAGTCTGTGGTTTTTGTCAGATCAGCTTACTTATGGGTAGATCTTTTCTCTAAATTACTTTCTCATCACAGCATTAACATAGTCAACTAATTGTTCTGTTGTAGAAATTTACAAAAATCTTGATATTAAAGAAATCTATCGATCTGAAAATGTGTATCACAGGATCACAGTTTTAATTTCTAAATTCCAGATTTGGACTATTTCTGTATGGTCCAATAACTACTTTGACAAAGGACTTAATTTGCTATTTTCAGGAATTTGTCAACTCATTTGTCTATAAATTTTCACAACTGGTATGTCACTAGTTACCTGATAGGGCCAGTTCCCCTCTATAACCCAAACTTTCTGTTAAAGGACTATTAACTGTATACAGTTGGTGATTTTTAGAGAGGTCTATATTAAGAAAGATGCATGTAATAAATACATCATCATGAAAAACTATTCATGGGATTTGAGTTAGCACGCTAGATTGCCAATTCCCTTTATCCATAATCTCTCTACCCAGAATATTTGAGAACCAATAATTCTCTTGAGGTAAATGTTTCCTGTTTTTTAATTTACTGACCCCTCTAGTTAAACTTACTGGTTACCAGTAGTAACCACAGGATTAGAGTCTAACCTCAAATGCTAGTCAACGGTGACTACTACATCACAGTTGAGAAATGGCCTCCTTGCTGTTCCACTGTTACAGACTTAGATTATTAAGACACCTAAGAATGTCTCACCTTTTATAGGTTGCTAGTAAGTACTACTTATCCTATAACTATTGGGGCACTGGAACATACCTGAACCAAGAATTATTTTGTCTTGTCTTTATACTCACTTGGAATCAAGAATCCATTGACAAACACACAGGTACCTTGTCTGAAGCCCCTGTACTCTTCTCCCCCGCCAAAAAAAAAAAAAAAACAAAAAAAAACACAAAAAACCTCAGAAATGAGATGGGAGGACAGAAACCTTTGAATAAAAAAAACATGGGGTGGGAGGAGTGAAAGATGATTCTGTATGTAGGCGTTAGCCTTGTAAATATTATAACTGGTGAGTATAGAGTAGAAAGTATAGTTGTACATTCTACAAATTGTTAACCTTTAAAAATATACTTGCTGCTAAAAAATAGAGTGCTGTTACACCTAAGGAAAATCGGTGCAGCTGTTTCGAAAAAGATTTGTGCCATAAATGCAGCTGAACTAAATAAAATAATAGTTCACAAATTAATGCTGTCAGAGGAATGAGTAAAGTAGAAAGACTTAACCAATGACATTTCATTCTAAATTATGTAGTGTGATCAAACATGATCATCCAGAATTTTTATTATTTTTCTTTGTACAGGTTATGCTTCCTGGGTGTTTTTTAAAAAGGAAACATTTTAAATCCACAGATTGACACTTTGAATCTTTAATGGACTTAAGATTTTTTTTCTCAGTAATTGCTGAAGTTTCTTTAAATTATATACCTTAACACAGCAGAGGAACTGGATTTTGTATATAAAACTGTCCACCTGAAATGCTGTCACAAGTACTTGGGGGGGGTCTTGTACATGATATTCTTAGAGGTAATAATGCATGAACTTATTTTATAAACTCCTGGACTATGTATTTGACATGTAAAATATGTACAGTATTGTCAGCCATCTCTTAAAAGTGAGCCTATAAATATTGTTGTATAATTTTTTTGGGTCAAGAACATTTTGGACTAAGTAGTGCCACTCGGGTCAGGATTTTCTTCAGTGCCATTTAGCAGACCAACTGTCTTTAGGTCTATGCAACTAGCAAAAATTGGTATGATGCAGAAGAATACTTCACAGTTGTCACACTTTGAATTTCACATGAGGGATTCTTCACTATTCCTCTGGAACCCAGTCTAGCAAAATTAGAGGAAAGGCCCTAAAGAGATTTCCATTTCTGTTAAGGAGGAAAAGCCTTCCTTTCCAGACTCAATAGTTGAGTCTACTATGGATAACAGTGTCTACTATCTCAGCCCTCGAAACTTCACAGAGTGTTGGGACTCATTCTGCTTTCTGTGGTGTAGATGGATAAAATTGGGCAGCTAAATTTTTCAGTCCCATGTGCCTCCTAAATAAAAGAAGTAACTAGGTTATAAGTTGATGTGCAGACATAAAGTAGCAAACTGTCCTGAATATTTGTTGTTGGGGGGTTGTGTGTGTGTGTTTTTTAATAAACAGGTGAAATTTTCCAACCAGGCATGTGCCATTCAACTTTGTCAAACAGTTGTATAAAGGAGCAAAACGGGGGGGGGGGGGGGAATGATTGTTGTATACACTCTAAATTGCTTTGCATGGTCTCAGAGATAATTGGTGTAAGAATCTTGACTTTTTTTTATATTTGGAAACCAAATAAAAATGGAAATAATTTTTTTTTAACCATAACTGAACATCGAGTGGAAAATGTGTCTGGCATTCCACAGTAAATATTTACTTTGCTCCCATGGGTGGCCATACACATCATTTCATAGTATATTTATACACTTTCATTCATGATCCCTTACTAAGTGGGATTTTAACACAGGGTTAAAAGGGATTGTCCACCAGTAAAGTGTTTCCATTACTCTCCGAAATGGACATTTTTGTTAAGATGCCAGCCTCATGGTGGCCCACTATGGCTATCTTATTTCTGTTATTCAGTGGGTTTTGTTAATTTTAATAATTTCCATGAGCTTTTCTATTCTGTAATTACATACTTTGCTGTTAACATGTTGCAGATAACTATATACTGCCATCACTTTTTATTACAGCTCTGTTTTTTAAAAGGGTAGCTGGCTAAGTTACCTTCCCCACCAAAATACAATTTCTATTTCCCCAAAATACTGCCTACTAAAGACCAACTTAAGAATTCTCACATAAAAGTTCCATTCGAATCTCATCTGGCTTTTGACTGTTAGTAAGTTGGAGGAAAAACAAAAGCCTGTCATTTCCCATATTTGTCTTTACACTGGAATATAAGAATTCCTGTAGGTCCCCTTAAACTGAACTTTGTAGACAAAATGACAAGACTAAACACAATAAAGTTTATTGTTTCTAGTAAACTGGGTTGTAGCAGGAATGTCATGTAGTTGATTTGTGCCTCAAAGTTTCAGGCTAACACTTGTTTCCTATATTCCTACCGTTTACATTGTTGATCATAACACAGAGTAGGTTTCTGCCCTCAAGACGGTTAGAGTCTAAGAGCATCTGTGTGACTGAGTTGGTTAAGCATGACTTCAGCTCAGATTGTGCTCTCAGGGCCCCGGGATTTCAAGGTGTTGAACAACAACTTCTTTGACAGACAACAGGGAGAGGGAACACAGGTGCAGGGGAGAGAGGGAGAAGCAGGCTTCATGCTGAGCAGGGCTTAATCCCAGGATCCAAAGCAGACCCTTACTAGCCACCCAGAACCATTTTTTTTTTTTAAATAGACTTAATTAACATCTCCAGTCTTCAAAAGCAAGATTTTATATGGAGCTGTAGAATAATCAGGTTGAAAAGTGATCTTGTCTCTGGTACTATCCCCCCCCCCGCCCCTTTTTTAATCTTCCTGACCAGGGCCAATGGCTGAATTCTAAGTCAAGTGAGAAGGCCCTAAAGGCCTCTCTTGGCATTGCATTATAGCAAAGACCCAAATTTATCCAAAGGCTTATTAGTTCTTTTTGCCAGAAGCCAGTCTTAAATAACTCTGCTTTGTCATGATTGAAACTACTTATGATCCCCAAAGTTACTCTTGACAGTATGTGGAAATATTAACTACCTGCACATCACATTTCCTGGTTCTTAATAAACACCAGTGACAGTATTGTAACTCCCACTGTTGCTCTCAATTTTTAATCAAATTCATTCCTTAAAAGAATACTTTGACCATTAATGTGTATCAAGAACCTTAAAAACCCATCTTTTGATCAAATTACACTGGGAATTCCAAACCCTCTCCAGGGATGTGGATAAAGATTTATGTACCAAGATTAGGCAGGCAACTAAAGGGGTATGGTCAACTAATAACCTATCCATGTAAAGGAATATTATGCAGACACAAATGACATTCATGTCAGGTAAGGATTTCTGCATGTAAATCAGTATAGCCTTTTGGAGAATACTACTTAGCAAAATTTTACAGCTCCACTTCTAGGAATCTAGTAAACTGAAATACTTAGACAAACTGCACAATAAAAATATGGTTAAAGATGTATAATGCAGACTTCATAAAATGGCATCAATTTAAATGTAACAGGGATTATGATAAATGGATATTACATGGATAACAAAGAAATGCAATGCCCCAAGGTAAACTTTCAGTAACATTTTAAAAAAGCATTACCTGCTAAGTCACTTTTTAAAAAGGAACCTGTATGGATTTCTTTAAAACCTGTATAATTTAAAAATTTAAAATAAATACTCCCAAGAAATGTTCAATGTGAAGATGTTCAGTAATCTTGCATGAAAAAACTGAGCTTGATAAATGCTCCATCTCTGCATACTATCAAGATATATATATATCAACAGCAAAGGGGGAAAGGAAACCTACACCATCTTTGTTACTGGAGTAACAGTCATGTATCACTTTTTTTAAGGAGGAGGGGGGAGGAGAGACATTTGTCCCAATACAAGAGCAGTGAATAATCAACCACAGCCAAGGAGGCTGCAGGCTAAACCTTAGCCCCCACCTGTCTTTGCACTGCTGACAAACTTAACACTTTAAGTGGTTGAAAATACTTTGTGGCCCGTGAAAATTAAAGTTTTATCATAGCAGAGCACCTCCAACCATTTAAAATTGTCTATGGATGCGTTCTCACCAACAAGGACAGAGGCGAGTAACCGAACCACAGACAACTGAGCCCCAAATATTTTATTGTAGGAGAAAAAAAAACAAAACCGTGTAAGATTTTTGCCCTATTCATTCCCTTGGCTACTCACAGTCCTAATGCTCCCTACCAAAACCAACCACCCAGTTCAAATCTAGTGCAACCAACCTACCTTATCTAAAATGCTTTTGACAAGTCTTTCAACTTACTAGATTATACTGAAATTTAATTGGGATTTACTAATCTAAATCATAGAACTATTTCAAAAGAGTCATGGTGGGTGAGAATGGATTAGAGTATGTAAAAAGGAAGCCTGCTAGGTACTCTCTACAAAGGTAGTGAGGTTATCAGTCTTTGTAAGACCTGTTTTGTCCCACAAATAACATGATTAGAGAAAAATCGTAAAAGTTCCTTAATGAGCAACACAAAATGTACTTTTAAATGATCAGATTTCAATTGTGACTCTGCTAGGAGACACAATAAGCAAGGCTGAAAAATACTCTGGCAATTATTCTGCATCTACAACCAAGTCAGAAACTGAAACAATTACATCAAGTCAGTAGAGGCTTGGCTGTGTACCAAGTCTACATTCACACAACTGAAATGCCACACCAACAGGCACAGATGAAATGAGACCAACTGAAAGACCGTCCAGATGTAACTGGGGAGAAAAAGGAGTACTGGAACTCTTCATGTGTAGTTCCATACTCAATAGGAAAAACTGTGGCCCAAATCCTAGTTTTGCAGCCAATGGGAACTTACCCAATTTGTAACAAAGCTGTAGCAAAGCTAACCCTTGGAACAAATCCTCCCAATTTCCAACATCAATGAGAAATGGAAATTAACACAGGGGCATAGAGTTAAGGAAACAAAGTATCACCAGGCTGAGTGGAAGATTACAGATTTTTATTCTTTATATTTCTTTCAAGTTATACATTCAACATGTTTTGCTTTTGTGATCATTAAATCATTTAAAAAATAAACCCGATATAATTCCTTAAACTAAGCAGCATGCTAAATAGCTAAATGAAATGTTATCCCCCAGCCCAAAAATACATTATTCCAATGAGATACTACATTTTTCTTAAATCGACTGATAAATTAGCTGCCATGAATAATGGCATTTAATTACTTGTTTTTTGGCCAGCTTTCCCAGATAAGGTTACCTTTTTAAAACCTTTGCAACTAACAAAATGTGATAGGACTAGAATAGCTTAAAAAAAAAAAAACAAAAAAAAAAAACCCTGAATTGTCAAATAGAAAAATAAAGACAATTTCTATCATTCTTATGACACCAACAGTTCCATCTCGCTAATGTTGTGTTTATGGTGTCTTGCAGGATACTTAGATTTCTTCCGTACCCTCTCTGAACAGTGCTAAACCACAGCACCTGTGGCTTGTTCAAGTACCAGTTTGCATTTAAGCTTATTTTTAAATGCTTCTGAGATTTTGTATTTAAGTATATTCTTGGTCTAAAGCAGGGTTTAAGTTCTATACCTGCAGAACCAAGATTTTATTAGGCATGACCAAGAATAACTAGTGTGTAAAAAAATCAAAACAAAGTAAACTGCAACAGAACAGAGAAATCAAATAAAGCTCCAGTCAATGCCTCTGGATTTCAGAAAAGCTCCTAATAGGGGCAGAATAGATTTTTCAAGAAGCCACTTACATACTCAAATTCTTTTCCTCTCCCCCAGGGCTTTGTACATGGTATTCCTCCAGCTTGGAGGTGTTCATCTGGCTGGAACTCAGAAGAGCAGCCCTTTCCAAGTATTCCTTCCCTTCTCCATACAGAGCGGCAACTGCAGTTTGTCTGTGCCCCTCCCCCATCAGAAGGTCCGCAGGAAAAGCCACATGCCAATCTCATTCACTTAATCATCCACAAGTGGCACAGTGCTGCGTACATAAAATACTTCCGTCGGATTCACTGTTCCCTTAAGTTTAGGAGTTAAAAATCAAAGGCTATAGGGAGAGGACTACATAAAGGAGCAAGCAGGCTGGAAGGTCCGGGACTCACAGCCCACTGCGGAGTCTCTTAAGGAGGAGAGAGGGACGCGCGGCTCCGGAGGCAGCTACTCCACTCCTCCCAGAAGGTGCTCTGCACAAACGCAGAGCGTGGCTGCAGTTGCCTGATCTTCATATCATTCATGTTGCCAGATTTGGAGTGTTTTTTTTTCATGTGAATTTCCTGATTTTTAAAAATGCTGGCACTGAATTCAAAATGTTTTAACCAACCACACACTGTGCGGGGCCAAGGAAAAGAGGCCCAAAAGCCAGAGGTGGCTGACAAATTTTTGCAGTCTACCTGGCCTCTCCCAGAGCCCCTTTTAATCCTAAACAAGTTCAATCAAAAGACTGACTCCTTTCATTCCACTGGCTGAGAAAGAGTCTTAATGAAACAATGGGGTCTCTTAACAAATTACAAAGGAAAAAAACAATGCCATGAAATCGGGAATTCATATATTTGAAACAAAAACAGTGTATTTTTCCATTTTAGTACTTCCAGAACTCAAATCAGTAGACATGAGTCCCATTCTAGACATATTCTTGTGGTACAATGGATTTAAATCTGGAATTTTAGAACTTACAAATCACTATGTGACACTAGCTACCATCATGAGTAGTGCCACCTACACTAAATAGAGCTCACTACTTGAGTGTTCATTTTGGCCCCAGAATGTGATTCTGTTTCCTTAGTTGTAAAACACCCTCTACAGCACAAGAATTGTTATAAATGTCAACTGCTCTTCAAGAGCTTTAAATTTACAACATCAAGGTTATGAACAATTTTATTCTGAATTAAACTAACATTTGTTTCCAAGCAATGCATTTATTTGGAAGGATACCAGTTACCAGTCATCAAAAACTTTCATATGTTGAAAATGTAATTTTAATAGATAATTCTTCATCTTACATAGGAGCACAATAAAATACACCACATTCTGAAGAAACTCCAGAAGTTATGAGAATCAAGAGTGGGGGAAATTCAGACGGGCTACAATATCCATTACCTTAAATTGCAAGAGACAAAGGTTCCAACCCAGGGGGTGAGGGGGGTGTGGGGAGGGGGTTAACATTTATATACTTGGGACTGGCTACACTGATGACTTACAAAGAACAAGGATAGGGAATCTGATACGGAGAAGGGTGGGAAAGAACAGTTTTTTGAGGGGAGGAACTCTGTCAATGCAGAAAAAAATTACTGAATATCAAACAATAGGAGCTCCCAAAGCAAATACTGAAGGATGAAAGAATCATTAACTGAGGATCTGATACTCAAAGGAAGAAACCTTTCAGATGACACTTAGGCAAGCTGGTTGCTTGAGATCTGCTCATCAGGTCTATAAGGAAGACTCATAAATGCTTTAGCAACCCCAAACGATTATCAGATTGGTGTTTCCTAATAGCACACACCAGTGGTTACACGTGGTTTCCAGACAAGAACTAAGAAAAGGGTCATATCCCAAATGCCAGATACAAACAAATGTGGCACAACATGTGAGTCCTACACAAAGTCAGTCACAATGCTGCTTTGCTGTGACTCTCCTGTACATGGCAAGACACCAATGATCATCTACCTAATCAGACAACACCAACACATTTATTCAGATTTCTAGGAGATAAGAAAAAAAAAAAATACCGATGCTTTATGCATGCTCAGGGCCAACTTATAAATACTCCATTCAGTGGTATCTTAACACAAGTTTGCATCAGTGAAAAGAAACTGGCAAAATCCACCTTTTGCCAGATAACTTGTCAGATGGTAAAGACCAAAAGAGAATGTTCCATCAGTTTTAATTTTTAAATACGATTGTCACATTGGGAAAATGAAATAAACACAGTAAAATAAACTGTACAAAGGCAAAGTAGAATAACAAAAAATATTTTACTAAAACATAAGATTTACAGAAGTTTCCAGACAAGCCATACAAAATGGTCACAAGCTTTTTCTTGAAGGAAGGATTCTACACTTGACAGCAAAGTCACAATGTTATTAGTGAGGGCTGTGATGTTTGTTTAATGTTCCCATTTTGGTTCAAACAATCAAGCTTGTCCATCTACAGTGTCTAAATAAAGTTAGACTTGGCTAGAGAGCATATTCTAAAGAACTGGTTAGCTGCTTTTAACCAATACAATTAGATCACCATAAAAAGGGGGAAAGGAGCCCATAAAATTAAAATAAAACTACCTCTCCCCCTCAAAAAAGTAATAAAGAAAAACACCCACACCCCTGCAGCTAACCCTGACAACTACCTTCATTCACAGTGCTTAACCATGATGGGGGAAATGAATAAAAGCAGAGAAGGGCCGCTGCTTTTATACGTTTCACAACAATCCAGATGGTACTTCTAGCCTCTGCTCATGCTTTACAACAGTGAATCAGGACAAGACATAGATTTGCTAATGTGCATTTAATCACCAAAGGACTGAAGATGTCTGGGTTTTATTCTGTAATGTTTCTAAGACTGTGTCCATTAAATGCAAACAAAAAAGGAAGAAGTCTTGGCAGAACAGGATAAGTGATGCACACTTGATGATCAGATCGATTTTAAATATTATTCATGGCATATAGCCTAGTCCATGCTCTAGCTGTAGACAAAAACAAACGTGCAATTATTATTTTACTTAGTTCAATAGGTTACTTTCCAAACTCTATAAACATAAAGCAGTATTATGTTGAATGCATGCTATTTTCTATCATCTGGATCAGAGAGAAAGACTGTGTGTATATCTAATTACCAAAACACTACAATGGAATCCAGAAATTCTACAAAATTCAGCAGGATGAAAAGAGTTGTCTCCTTTTGTCTCCTTCATTTCTAGATATGCTCTCCACTAATTTTGTTAAAATCTGTAACAGGAAGAAGCTTACTGATTTTCAAACTCCCTAGCTATAAACTGGCATAGTTTTACTGATCAGATGAATTACAAAAGCAGCTCAAAAGGGTTGAAAAGTTTTCTAGTATCTTCATGTACTGCTAGGTGAATGGTACACAAGGAGTATTTGATAAACCAATTATAGGCTGTCTTTACATTTGGGGATCATGCAGCAGGCCCTAAGACAGAGTTTAAACATCTGCTGTTGAGAAGTGTTTACATAGTACAAACAGGATATGACTTATTCCTCTTAATGTACCTTTTCCTTTTTGTTAAGACTCGAAAAGAAGTTTTTATAACAGTAGTATATATTGTTTGAAAAAGTGGGGTGGTGTGAAGGAGGGTGGGTATTAAATACCTGTTTCTATGGCTTGGGCCTCGTTGGTCTTCCACTGCTCTGCTACATCGTTTGCTAACGGATCATCCGGATTGGGAGCACTTAACAAAGCCTGGATCGATAGCAGAACTGTGCGGATCTGCAGTGCTGGGGACCACTTATCTATGAAGGCAACAGGCCCAGAATGATCAAGCATGAAACAAAAGCCCCAGAACTACTGCATTGCATTCCCACAGACCTTTGTGGTCTTTATATAAGGCAATGTTCAGATTCTCAATATAAAACGCTTAAGAGAAAAAGGAGAAATCTTAATAGCATATATTAATAAAGGTAACACTTACCTTTCAAAATATCTAAACATATTCTTCCCAACTTGTCTACATTAGGATGATAAATTTTGGTCATGAAACGTACTTTAGGGGCTGCCATCGGGTATTCTTCTGGTAGGAATAGTTCAAGCTTAAAAGTCCCTCCCTCAAAGGGGGAATCCTGAGGGCCAGCAATGACCACATGAAAATAACGGGCGTTGCTCTCATCTGGTTCTGCTTTAATGCCAGGAACTGGTTCTGCCAGCAAACGCTGGGTTTCCTACAACAGAAAAACATGACACATTTATGAAACAAATGTCACTTTGCTAAACACCAAATTAAAAATTAAGAAGTCCAACTCTTGTGGGGCACCTGGGTGGCTCAGTGGGTTAAAGCCTCTGCCTTTGGCTCAGGTCAAGATCCCAGAGTCCTGGGATCGAGCCCGCATCGGGCTTTCTGCGAGGCAGGGAGCCTGCTTCCTCCTCTCTCTCTGCCTGCCTCTCTGCCTACTTGTGATCTCTGTCAAATAAAATAAATAATATCTTTACAAAGAAAAAAAAGAAGAAGAAGAAGAAGAAGTTCGTCTCTTGTGACTGGACACAACAGAATTTCTTCACTCTCTCGAAGGGTATGTATTTATTTTTTTAAACTTGAAGTTCAAAGAAAACACTATTTAAATAATCTCAATCACCTGAATGCAACTGCAAGTGACTAGTAATGACATACACTGCAGCTGCAAGTGTCTGAGCATATGCTGATAATAAAAATTAGGATAATGAAACTGATTTTATACTAAGGAGAGAAGTGAGGAGAGGGGAGTGGAAAAGAGAGGAGGCAAGAGAGAAGAGAAAAAAGAAAACAACACTGGGATTATCACACAGGTAAAGGCCACTTACACTGTTTAAACTCTACCAAAACCTTTAAAAAGTAAAATTAGGGGCGCCTGACTGGCTCAGTCAGTACATGATCTCTTGGTCTTGCTGTTGTGAGTTCCAGCTCCACGCTGGGTGTAGGGATTACTTAAAAATAAAATCTCCTAGGGAGCGCCTGGGTGGCTCAGTGGATTAAAGCCTCTGCCTTGGGCGCAGGTCATGATCCCAGGGTCCTGGGATCCAGCACGGCATCTCTACTCAGCAGGGAGCCTGCTTCCTCCAATCTCCCTGTCAGCCTGCCTACTTGTGATCTCTGCCTGTCAAATAAATAAATAAAAATCTTTTTTAAAAAAACTAATAAAAAATAATAAAATCTCTTAATTTTTTTAAAAGTAAAATGAGTTCTAAAACTCACTGAAAAATCTTTCCTCTAAAAAACAGAAGGGAATGTAGGAGGGCCAAGTGCCTAGGCACCTAGACAGGGCTAGAGAAATATATACAACCTTGACACTGAACCCTTATGCTGCTCCCCAACAATCATTAGTTCTCTTTCCCATCTTTCTCCCTCTCTCCTAAATATCTAGAACACTCTTCTCTCTTCAAACCTCCAGTATCTCTATCCTCACCCTCATTTTTGGCTGATAACTCTGAGGTCTATTTCACAAGAAAACAGATACTTCCTCAAGTTTGCACACCCACCTTCAACTGTGTGCCCATATGCTCTGCCTGTCCTCTTGTCACTGTGGATAAAATGACCGTCACTCTTGGCTAAGACTGACCTCTCCTCTAAAGCATTAAATCTTCTCTCCTTTCCACCTATTCCAAGGACATTGCTGTCGGATCGCTTTCTTCTCCTGAACCAGCAGTTCCCCCTCCTCATTGGCTCTTTCCCCAAACTGTACAAACTTGCTGTAATTTCTCGCAGTAAGAGGAGAAAATAACCTTGACCTCACTCTCCCACCACCTCCTCACCAGCTAATGCACCACTGCTTTGCTGCTTTTTCAAAGTTATCTATATCTGATTGTTTCCAATTTTTCTCCTCCCCTCCTATCTTGAACACAACTCTCCAATCAGGGTCTAGCCACTAACATGCCTATTGAGGTCACCAGTGATTCCCACACAGTTAAATTCAAATAGCCAATGCTTAATCTTCATCTTATTTGACCTAAATGTAACATCTTACCCTGCTGGTCTGCCCTCCTCCTTGCCAAACATCACCCAGCTTCCTACAGCCGAGCTCTCCTGATTCTCTTCCTACTCGTCTAGCTGCAACCTCCTTGCTGGTTCCTTCCCTGACTCCCCAACACGAAGTGCACCAGGGCTCTGTCCTAAGGCTTCTTTACACACTTCTATAGTGATCCCATGTTGTCCAATGAATCTAAATACTAAATACACCCTGTATACGATGTCTCCCTAAACTCATATTCAGCACAGATCTCTCCCCTGGATTACGCCTCTTCTATCCATAACAATTTGTTCAACAGCTCCTCTTGTGTGTCTTTTTTTTTTAATTTTATTTATTTATTTGACAGAGAGAGAGAGAGATCACAAGTAGGCAGAGAGGCAGGCAGAGAGAAGGGGAAGCAGGCTCACTGCTGAGCAGAGAGCCCGATGTGGGGCTCGATCCCAGAACCCTGAGATCATGACCTGAGCCGAAGGCAGAGGTTTAACCCACTGAGCCACCCAGGCACCCTCCTCTTGTGTGTCTTAATGAGCATCCCAACTTAGCATGACTTTCCCCACCTTCAATATGCTCTTCCCGCAAAGCCATCTTCACTTTAGTTAACCATCAATCCATCCTTCCAACTGATCAAATCTTTCCCTTTATCTCCACCATATCTAAACTGATCGGCATATTTTGTTCGCTTGAATTTCCAAATCTACTGGACTGCTTCTTACTGCCCCGCAGCTACACTTCTGATCCAAGCCACCATCAGCTCTCGGCTGGTACACTGTAATAGCCAAGCTTTGTTCTTCCTGCTTCTGACCTTGTTCCCCACTCACTCCTGGGTCTGTTGATGGACCTTTGGAAGTCCTTACAATGACCCCCCAAGAAGAGGTTTTATATGATCCCCTTACTCTGGGTACTCTTAACTCATCTTCAGCTATGTTTCCCCTAATACTCTTACCTGGCGCTTTGCCCCAGCAAGATTAGCGGCTTTGTAATTTTCCAACCTGCTGAACATACTCCTCCCTCAAAAGCTTTGCCCTTGCTTTTTTTTCCCCTGAAATTTCTACCTGGTTTGCTACCTGACAGCTCCTAAGATCTTCATTCAAATGTGTTTTCTCGGGTAAGGCCTCCATAATTGAAACTGCAAAAGCCCGGTCCACCTAATCCCAAACCCTCCCTATCCCTGTTGCCCTAATGTTATCTCCAGGGCTCTACTAACACATTACATATCTCACTTATTTTGTTCAGAATGGACGTGCCATAAAAGGAGATTTGTGCCTGTTTTATTTACTGCTATATCCTCAGCATTTGGAACAGTGCCCAGCACCACAGATGTTCAATAAATACTCGCTGAATTATGAATCTATTTGATGTTACAAAGAACAAAGAATAAACTATCAGAACTGCATCTTCAACATTAAAGCAGTGTTATTCAAAGCAGGATATACACATCACAGGAGGATAACAAAAGGATCCATTCACTCATGGGAAAAAATAACCTAACTTTTATTTATAAACATACTTTTTTAGCCAAAAATAGTTAACACTCAATAAAAGAAACTGGTAATTCCATGTGTAATTTTATATGTTAGTAATATACATTCAACATTTTGAATAGGCATGTGCAGTTGAAGTTTTAGAACACTGCTATATCTGAAGTTTTAGATATGAAAAACAATGAGAATACTGTATTTACGCCACCTTCACTTATGAAAAATCCTACACCTTACACCATTTCATTCTACAGCCTACAGGCTACATACTTAAAGAGATTTCCCTGTCTTATACTGAAATAATCATAAGATGCAGATAAAAAATTAAACCCTTTTCCAAACTGTGTTAAACCCACAGCCATTTAAAGCAATGCCTTTAGTACTTTAATTAACTAGAGACTGGTGTTTTTTTGCTTTGTTTTAATCATAGCAGTGCAAGGGAAATGAGAAACTGAAATGCTGTGAACTACTTTTAGCAAAATGTTCTTTGGATTCAAAGTAAAACATTTTTACTGCATAAAAAAATCTCAGAGGGGCACCTGGGTGGCTCAGTTAAGTGTTTGCCTTCAGCTCTAGCCCTGCACTGGGCTCCCTGCTCAGTGGGGAGTCTGCTTCTCTCTCCCTCTCTGCCCCTCCACGCCCCAGCTTGTGCATGCTGTCTCGCACTTACGCTCTCTCTTCCTCTCTCAAGTAAATAAACAAATCTTTAAAAAAAAAAAAAAAGGCAAACCTCAACAGGCAATAATGAAGCCTCCCACTGTAGGAAGTCCACCAACATGGAATTAGAACAAAAGAGGCAGGTCTTCATTTTTAGCAAAAAAATTAAAATAAAATAAAATAAAGATACTAAGGACCTACAGTAAGAATAAAGAAATGAGAAAAAAGCTAGATGGTAAAATTCCTTGAATTCTGACCTCTCCTCACCTCGACCCTCCTTTTGTTTTGCCCCAGGTCTTCCTATTTTTAGAAATCCAGAAGTTGGAAGATTGGGGGAAAAAAGAAAAGGCTGGGGTCTAAGGGCCCCCAAATCCCACTCCCTGGTTACACAAAGTAGTAGCAGCTCTATTCTAGGCTATAAAAAGCAGCCAGAAGGGCCTCCAAGATCAAAATAGCCTCAAAATCACACTCAGAACACATTGTCAGAGTCATCATTCCTTCCTCATCCTCAGTTCCTCCTCAAAATAAGACTCTTTCTAAAGAATGTACATATTAAACATACCACATGGCCTGATCAATTATAAAAATTAATCAGAACACATTCTAGCATAAGCCTTTACGTATGGAAAACATTTTGAAACAGTTTTTATACGCTCTCAAGTTCTCATGGATTTTGATATAATGAAGAGATGCATAATTATTTGACTACATGGCAGTGATTTCCCAAACAAACCCACAGCATAAATTATGGGAGGAAAAAAGAATAAAATCCAAACCAAATGGAACAAGTCTCACGCACAGAACTTAGAGTCCATTTTTTTCCCGAAAAAGGCAAAAGTGGGTAGGAAATAAAATCCTTCCTGCTAGTACTCACACATGGCTAACTATGAAACACATTCTAGTTTTATATTATTCTTTGGTAAAAGGACAATGAAGTACAGTATGATTTCTTCAAGTCTAGAAGTAACGGGTTCAAATTCCTTCTGCATTGCTTACGTAACTATTACTTTTGAGCAAATAATCTGCACTGCTCTGAGTCTCAGCTGACTTACCTATATCATAATTAAGATTACCTCTCATGCAGAG